AATAACTGACTTGAAAATACAATCGACCTTCCTGGGGATTTCACATTATTCAATAAATCAGTCAGTATCAGTATTGGTAATAAAAGAAATATAAAGAAATACATGAAAAAATTACCATAATAACTTTAAAAAAAATGACAGTCTACCAAGTCAGTCAGACAATACCCGGACATTCTGATGTGGAATTTCAAAATTAAAGCCCACTAAATTCAGATTAATTTAGTAGAAGGGTTACACTGGTGAGACCATACACATCAAGTAAAATCAAACAGTTACGTTATCATAAAAAAAAAGGTGAAAATATTAAAATGTATCATATATTGCGGCATAGTCTAAAAAGATCAATATTATTTATTAGACAAAATGTCCAGCCCTACCCTGCCTTATTGGTTACAAAATGTGTCCAATAACAGACAATATAATAATATTTCAATTTCATATACATTATGGTGTGACACTTAACTACTGAACTGAAGAATAAAATATGTAGCTAGACTGCTCAAAGGCCCTTGAAACATCAGACAAAGCAGGTAATTCATTGTAGTGAGAAACAACTACCCTGATGAAGGCCGTTGGGATGCCCGGCACAAAACTTGGCACGTTCGAGCCAATGGAGTCTTTGATGAAGTGTCACTGTGACAGCTGTGAAGGAGCAGGGCCACACAGTTCTTTCCTCCATTATAGGAATATCAGTACATTATTGCAGTTTGACCTTTGTCTGTGTCGCTCTAAATGTCAGCGCATATAATGGGGTATCAAAAAATCTTCCCTGGTTCATAGACAGCACGACAGGCTCATCGACAAAAAAAGGGGAGAGTGGGCTAAATGTACAGAGAGATGGAGAGACAGAGGGAAGATGTTAAACACAGAGCTGATGCCAACAGACACAGCTGGAGGGTGACAAAGGAAAGCTTTAAATAACTGAAACGTGTGAGAGGAGGTGCTATAATTATATGTATGACATTACACTTTTTTTCCCTTGACCATGCTCTTGTCACTTGGTAATTCATTTCATTGCCACAGCAACTCACACTTGCATATAGCTAAAAAAAATGTAGATATAGATATTTGTGGCCCAGTTTAATTACAATATGTTTTTCCAAGTTAAACAATTTGCATTGTAACGACAAACGTAAAAACAATTTCATATGAAGTTGTTTTTTTTTTTATTAAATAAATTTACATTTAATAATCTGTCAGTTGTCTCTCCTGCAGACAGAAAAATTATTTTATAGTATGAATCATTATATCAAATGTAGAAAGACACTGGTCTGTAGCAGCACCATGGTAACAGCTTGACAGAAAACTCCAGTGGACCAGCCATCTGTCTAACATCTGCAAACGTGCTGGACATCGTCTCGGAATATTACAGAAGTTGGCCAACAAGCCCGTCCTAGAGGCAGAGATGTCATCTAAACCTGTTACGATAACTACTTGTGTTGGACGAGATAATGTCCCAGAATATATAATCAATAAATAGTGGCAATAAACAATATTATCATAATTTTTGGACCATTTCATGCCACTGATATAATAATACAGTAGCATAAAAATGCAAGCATACCCTATCAAAGAGCAATGAAGTTAGCCCCATAATCTGGTGTACTGCAGTCAGCTACCAGGGGTGGATGACCTGGGAGCTGAGTGGTGTGCTGGTGGATTTGCGAAGTGGAGGATGAAATTGCTGAAGGGTAAAACTGCAGACAACAGACTTTTTGGCTCGTTGTCAGGGGTTGGCAAGCCAACAGCTATCAGGTCTGTGCCTCCTTCACTCCAAAAGTCAAGCTGCAGGTTACTGGTGAGCTACATTGTAGGGATGCGCCAACTCTTGAATACTGGGCTGATACCGATAACCAATACCAATACCGATGTTTTTTTTATGAGTTTTTCTGTTTTTGTTAAAGTTAAAGTTGCACTATAAAAAATAACGGAACTGTTTAAAAGTAATTAAGACCTTCATTCCACTATCTTTGAATGAGCATAAATTCAATCATACAAATGCATGAAACAACCTTTAAAGCAACACTTACCATTCTGGAAATTTTTACACTTTTCTTTGTTTAGGTTAAAATGCTATTAATAAGCTAAGGGCACACTGAAATGTAAGTGAATTCCACCAGAAATAAAAACTCATAACTGTACTATTCTCATATGGTTCTAAGAAAACTCCGACCAATCATTGCATTCGGACTGCATGCAGTGATTGGTCAGAGTTTTCTCCTGTCCTGTCTGTCTTCCCCACGTGAAGGCCTCCAACAGACATAACCGCTCGTGTAACTTCCCCCCCACACCCTCCACCCCTGAGTCTGTGAGACAACAAATATGCTAGTAAAAGGGATGCCTGTAGATATAAAGTAGTAACAGGGACGCTTGTGGATATAAACTAGTAACCTGAGATGACCATGGTTTCGCCTGGAGCTGTCCCGAAGGGAAGACGCTGGCAGCGCTGTGACAGGACACGGAAGCGGGGGAAGCCCGGAGGGGTTAGCTCTATGCTAACAGCTAACCCCATCAAACCAGCTGTTCCCAGCGGCCTTCTGGCGAACATCCGCTCGTTGGACACGAAATGGATTACATCCGACAATGGAGATCCACTCACTGAGGAGGGAGGGACTGCTGTGTCCTTGTGTTCACTGAGACATGGATGAATGGTAACATATAAGACGCCGGTGCTGAGCTAACGGGGCTAACACTACATAGAGCAGACAGACAGGCTGCATCATCTGGTAAGCTCCGTGGTGTATACACAAATAATTCACGGTGCTGTGATGTGAAGAGGATCTCCCAGTTCTGCTCTCAGGATGTGGAGTTTTTGACTGTGAAATGTCGACCCTTTTCATCTTACTATTGCACTATATGTTCTTTCTTGTATGTTACACAAATTGTTTATAAATGTTTTGTTTCTTTTTGCTTTGAGAATGCGAAATGTCAGTTCGTTTTTTGTGCTGCGCATAAAAATGACAAAGACGTTCACTTCAGTTCATAATGTTATATGTGTCAACACAGCATCCAGTTGCTAATGGCTAACGTTAGCCTACTGTAGCATAGCCTCTGAAACATTAACGTTATCTTCCTTGTGCGTTTCCACTTACTAGTAACGTTAACATTACTATCTTACCTTGGCACTGTAACCTTATTCTAAAACTCATCAGTCATCACTGACTCCGGTTGAGTTTTAAAACTCCGGGGATGCATTTGTAACGTTACACTCGCCCTCCTTTTCTGTGTATCTAACGTTACCATGCCAACGCCTACATCTCTCATAGACATAATGAGGACATAATGGAGGAGCAGGAAATAGGCCTTTGGAGGGAGGTGGAGTTGCAGGAGTGAAAGTAAGTGCTGTGTGAAATGCAAGAAAGGTAAGAGTTGCTTTAATATAACCTTTCACATGAAAAACAAAAAAAAATAACTGCTTCAAAAATGTTTTTACTATATTCAATATTTCATAATTCTGTTTAATTTTTTAATCTATCTTTATATCTTTACTTACTTCTCCCTCAAACAACTGTATTCATTCGAGTTTCTCATTAAAAACTACATTTTACAAGATTTCATTGAACACATCCTTAAAAATGTTATTATTTACCTTTGCCCCTATTCATTTTTACTGAATAGAGCTTAAACGCATCACAATGCAGCCTCCGTGAGCTGTTAGTTAAAGCCACCGGCTGCTTAGAGCTAACGTTAATTAGCTTTCTTCCTGCCTATTTTAATTTGTTGTTAACAATGTTGTTTTATCAGGAAAACAATAAGTTGTGTTACAATGATACTGAGTTTACTGTGCATCCCAAAGGCGGAGATCTCTGTTCATCCAAAACATGTTTTCTACTGTCCCAGGATGACAGGATGACGGCTGCTACTTGCCATCTCGTCACACAACAGTGACATCAGAAAGCCCATTTGCCAAACAGTCATTGTGCTCTTCAACCTGCTTATGAATTTAAGTTTGTGGCCATTAGTCTTGAACTCTGCTTTTTAGCCTGCGCAAAACTAATGTGACACAACAGAAAAACATCAGCCACTGCCATCTGTGAATATCATCTTATTTAGGCGAACAGCAGTCAACAAGACAAATATTGGCTGATACTGAAGTTCACTGAATAAATCAGTGCATCCCTACTAGGTTGTGTTGTCTTTAAAGTGTTGTTTTATGTTTCTTTGGACTCGCACAAGTAGGCGGGGGTGGACATTAAAAAAAAGGAGAATCGCTGATGACATAACTATCGTGACAGGTCTACCAAAATCTACAAAACTCAGGTAAGGAGTATCACGGAGTACTCCTGCCTTGCCTGGATCAATTCCTCACAAACATCTCTTAGGCAGCTAGAAATCATTCAGATTATAAGTATTGATGAGGACTATGCTCTAAAGGACTATGACTAAGCCATTGCTGAGCAGTTGCTGCAATAACTGTTCTTTTCAAGGTGCACACTCCAAACTGTCCAGCAGCCCTGAAAGCACTGCTACCCTTAGTTCAAGTCCCAGGTTGAACCACCCAGAGGTTACCGCCAAGACGCCGGTAACCTCTGGGCTAACACCAAATGCCTTGACAGGAGCTTTCTTCACTCTGCTGTAACAACATGGAACAGCTGTCACTAGAGACATCACATCAAGTAGTGTTCAAGAGGAGGCTGAATATACACCTCCTCAGCATGAGCCTGCAATCCTAAAGCTCAACGACTTCAGACATACACAAAACAGCTTCATATATATTCCTGAGTAGCTGCGGATCAGTGAAAGTGTTTCTGAATGGTATTCATGAAGCTTGTATCTGCAAAAGCAAAAAAGAAAGAAAAGACAAAAACAGCTTGCAGTCCAAACAGACAACAACTCAAAATGTCTTTCTAAAGCCAACCGAAACCTTGCTTTTGGTTCATTAATACCGTAAATCAATCCCTTCGGCCTGGTTTGGAAACCAGCCCTGAAACTCAAGTATTGACTCCACAGAGTGCTGCTTCATCAATACCATAAAAGAATGATGTAAATCCTAAACTCACCAGAGCATCTATGAGCACCTCAGCACCCTCCTCGCTCTCATGGAGTGTGTCAATATCTGTCAGCTCCTGCAGCAGGTCCACCACTGCTATGGCAACATGTGGTTCAAGCTAAGGACAATAAGCTTGTGTTAAAAGAGCATTCCACTGATTTACCATTGGGGTGGACAGTTAAAAAAGGATGAAATTGGATCCAGCATTCTCCTTCCTTGCCTAAATCTGGCACCTACATTACCCACAATGAAACTTGACCACTGACAGTTCGCTTGAAGATTTGATGACAGAGTCGACAGAGAAATACATGGGCCTTTTTTCAGTAGACATTTTGACTTGTCACTGTAGGAAAAGCCCAAGTGATGATGGCTGTTCTGTTCTAGTGTTACTGTTTAGTTATATCCTCTCACATCTAAAGACTCCCTTTAAGAAATCTAATATATTATTTCCTCATGTGTCTAGAAAAACACGTAAAAGCACAAGGTAAAAGGTGTCATATGTCGACAATATTCTTGTCAATTCAGCATCATCCATATATCATCCATAAAGATAAACTGTATTTGCTTGCAAAATTTAGATTTTAGATTTTGCTGCCTCAACCCCCAGCCATTGGTTGTTCATAATGTTCACATGACTGAACTTTACTATTTGCATGAGCTAAGAGTAAAATCTTACGATACTATTAGACATGTTTGATTTTTATCGGAACATCAAAACTAAAAAAAGACTTATGACGGCTCTGACTGAGTGTTATGACCACCTTACACCAAACAATCAAGATCATGGGTGTGTGCACCAACTGAGGTAAAACTCTCATAATCTTATTTCAACATTGAAACTTTGTCTGCGACAGTTAAATCACATTAAAAGTCATTTGGTGTACGGCCGACACAAATGAAAGTTAGCCATCATTCATTTCATCATCGACACCCGTGGTTTTCCTACTATGACAAATCCAAATGTCAAATTTCAAGTCCAAAGGCCTATTCAATGATTTTTGTGTTTTGTTATTGTTCATAGTGTTGTTGTTCCCTCTTTTTAGCTACGGTTAATAAATTGTTCTATCATTTAGTAAAACGTATAGCTACACCACATAATTTAAATGAAAATGCTAAGTATATTATTGTATTGCATTAATGCCATTTTCGGGACGGGGTAGTCTAGGAAGTATGGCACCCACCCTCTCGTTGCCCCCTTGTTAACACAGACAGTTCTGTCAGCACTGATGCAATCATTTAACACTGTTTATGAAGTTAGCACCATTAGCTGCTAGCCCCAGCTCAGCCACCTCTGTGGTGAGAACTGTGTCAAGACAACTCATAGTCTCTGAATTTTGCATAGAGCCCCTTACTTGTATACACTGTTTTTATTGTACTATTATTGTTCAAATTTAGCTTTCTTTTAGCTCTTAAATTGTATGACATTTTACTAGGTGAGAGGGAAACAGCATTTCGATTCTCTGTATGTACTGTACATATAGCAATTGACAACAAAAAACTTTTGAACCTTTTTTAAAAGACAAATGTTAAAAAAAGAAATTTTATTTACAGAATAAATGGATCAAAATGGACAGACAGTCTGAATCAATTTGAAATAAAAGGATATCAGTGTTTTCATGACTGAGGAGGCCCAGCAGTGAGTGGACGGCGTTAAGCTCCACCAGCAGGTGGTAGAGGTCTGGCATTGTGGCGATGACATGCATCTCCTGGATAATGTCGTTCAGATCCAACTCCGACTCCATGAACCTGGTTTAAGGAGCAAGATATTTTGGTTAGCATGCCAGCATTCCATGTTACCATTAATCTCAAAGTGCAGTAGAGTAATTCACTTATTACACTGTAAGTACTGGACTACTGTCTTTTTAATACATTTCATTTTGGTGTTCATGAGGCACACAGTATAAATTTATAAGCAAATACGTTTAAGCATTTAAGAAAACTGATAAGCTTCGGTAAGTCCACAGGAAATTTGGCTTAATTCACACACAATATGTCAGGTATTTAAACAAGCTTTAAATCAAATCCTTATACAAAGACCAAGACAGACAAACATTGTGAACTGTCAGTAATGGGCTTACTTCTCTGGGTTGTCCGGAAACTTAATCCTCAGTTCCTGATTTTTGTACGACCTTTTCTCAAAGGTCAGGATCATTTTCTTCACTGAGCTCTCATCCACTGGTTCTGCCTGTTTGATTCATGCATAAGAGAAGGAGAAGGGAGGAAAAGATTTAAATTGGACAATGGAGCGAAAGGGAAAAAAAGCCTTTTATTGCAGCAATTGCTGCAATATCAACAAAGAGACATCAGGGTCATCCTAATTATGTGGGTGGAGCACAATAGCCAGAAGTTTTCTACAATCAGGGGGAGTGTGAGAGCATTTCACTGGAAAGGGAATGGGTTTGACCTCCTGATGGCTTAAAAGCCTGTAAAGTGTTGGACAGATAATGACAGGTTAGGAAATTACAATTGTCTGACATTATGGAACAGTGCAGCACTTTGCTCTGAGTAGCTCTTGACACAGTGAATACTTGAAAAGGCTGCTGTGTCGGATAATAAGAACAGGATAATAGATGTGCAGTTTTCTAATGCACTACATAATACGGCAACACTGGTACTGACAATGGGTTCTTTTTGTCCCCAGAAAGAACTATATGGAAACTCTCCTGCTCTAGACATTTCTCGCAAAAAATTTAAAAAAGCGCTACATCCACAAAATTCTCACCGTGCTAGTGCTGTAGTACTTAAAGTCTGGACTCAACTTGGGATGAGTAACTTAGACTCAGGCCTAAACAATCCAACCTTAATTTGGACCTGGGGACATGATCACATTAGTCTCTGGCTACGCTCAAATTTTGTAGCTGACATGTATTAAATCTTGTTCACAGATTCAAATATTGATCACCAGTGTTGGGCAAGTTACTCTTAAAATGTAATTTCTTACATATCACTAGTTACCTTCATTTAAAAATTGTAAGTTACATTACAATATTACTCTCTGTGTGAGTAATCAGTTACTTATTACATTACTTTCTCCAAAATGACCTCAGGAGAACGAACAGGCATTTTAGATGGATGAGGGTCATGTTGTTTCACAGCAGCTAATCAAACCACAGAGGCTCCAGTTTATCACAATTCATTTCAAATCCAGTGCTGCACAGTTCTGACCCAGTCATGCATTCACATACAGTGGTTACCACTTTGTATTCAAATCCCCTGCTTAAATTAATAATAGCGTGATGATATAGAACAGTCAAACAGCCGTTTATTAATAAATTAATAGCCTTGGACACAGGAAGGGTCAGGCAGAGGATCAGAGTCTGATAATCATGAGATATGGATGAATATTTTTGGGCCTATGATATGAAACACAGTGAATAAATATTGAGGTTAACACACCAAAAGAAATGGCGTGCTTGTAAATCACTATGACAAGCACAAATAAGTACACCAGAGCCAGACGACCCACGTGCCAGTTCCTGGACTGCCGGTCAGCTACAGTAGCACCAGAAAGAATTATGCATAATGACAGGACTGTGAGTCCGTGTTGCTCTGCAGTTGTAGGGCATGAGAATGGAAACACATCCAACATATACTAACATCATCCATGTCGATCACCGGGACAAGGAAGAAAACAGCCTTAGGATGCAAAACCGAAACGGGATATGTTGTAGGTATATCAATGGAAACACACTGGACATGATGACGCAAACAATCATCACCGTTCTACAGGTAGTGTATAATGAATGACACGACAACACACAACAACCTAAATATATAACAACAAAATAGTTTATATAAGGAATTTAGGCTACCAGTCACAATAGTGAAATAAAATGGTTGTCACATTGAGAATGGTTTCTCACACTCACCATCATGTCAGTCCACGCCAGGAACAGTTATTAGAGTCTGACTGAGCACACAAGGTGACTGAACTAACTGTTTGCATGCCATCACACAACCGATGCTACCAAATGATTATTAATGGTTTTAAGTCGAGCCGTTTTGATGTTGGTATGAGTTTGTTGGAACAGTTAAATGGTTCACTGTTGGATGCTAATCGCTGCTGTTGTGTTAGCTCGTGCTAATTCGGCAGACATTGAACTGACCAATGGGAGAGTGACTCAGGACAAAGCAGCAACAGAGAATTTGCTAATACCGCTGGGAGTCTGGATACTTCAAGATCAGACCCCCCCACACGAAAAGGATCAATTGCAGGTATAGTTTGACTGTAGAAGTTTTGATACTACTTGGTACTGTGTATCCTATGCTGAAGGAGATAAGAAAGGAAGCACTGGAGCTTATTTCCTAAGTATTTAAAGAACTCAACCAGCTGTTATCATAGCTCCCACTTAGACACTTGTGGGTCATTTCACTCAGTCAGGAACCTTCCTCAGCAAAAAAGACTATTGAACCACAGCCTAAGACTACAGTAGAGCTGCAACAATTAATCAATGAGTTGTCACGCCAATAAACTGAATATGTTTGATTTGTGGACAAAACAAGACATTTGAGGAGGAAATTTTGCGCTTTAGGAAACACTGATCAACATTTTTACCATTTTATGACATTCAATAGACCAAACAACAAATCAGTTAATCAATAAATTAATCAACAGCTTCATCAACAATGAAAACAATCATTAGTTGCAGCCCTTGATTACACTACACAGTACTCTAAAGACGGACATTCTGTGAGGAAAGGTCAAACACGCTGTAAAGCAGGGTTTGCCTGCATATCTAAATGTGAGCCAGGCTAGGTTAAGCCTCTGGCTTAAAGCACCAATGCTGAGGCTTACAGTGTACAGAGTCTCAGGGGACCAAAGTCATGCAGACTAGTAATAGAAACAAACATGCCTGCAATAAGGCAATGCATCCTGCACATTCACTAAGCTATGGACAATTTGGATTTTCACAAAACTCAAACCTCCAGAGACAACTGAGATAAGCAACACCCTTGCCGTGCCACCTCTACCATGTGAATAAAACTATTCCACTCTGACTTTTGTAACTACAGACAGGCCATACTGACCTCATACTTGTTCCTATGGGAGGAACAGTAGGTGTGGTTGAGGGGGGATGAATCTCTAAGTGCTGACAACTCAACTTAAGTGTTATCCTATTCCTACATGAGCATGCAGACGAGTAGCAGCGCTGCAGTGGACAATGTCAGCAAAATCAGCAATGAAACAACAGCAACAACACCTGCAAATTCATTAGATGTGTTTACAATAGTTTACATGTTATTTATGGGAAACAGCAATAAGAATTTTACTGAGAAATAATAAAAATTAAAATAAATAAATTTGAGTGTGTGCGCATATTCACTTTTTGTGAGTTGACAGTAATTCCTTTTACAAATTGTGCTGCACTTCTGTGGTGAAATACACTTTTAATATAACCATAATAAACAAAGGCTTTAGATGTTATTGTTTGTTGTTGTTTTAATATTTCAACTTGCAAAAAACAAATGTAACAACTCTGTAATAATTCGACCCACCTCTGGTTCTTCCTCATCCTGGTCCATCAGTTTCTCCAAGATTTTTTTCTTGTCCCCAGTCAGTTCCTCAGGCTCCCTCATTTCACCCCCGCCTTCTATTCCTACTCCTGCTGCTGCTTCGCGGTATCTGGCCAACTCTCTGGCACTCAGCCCCTTTTGCTGCTTCCCTCCTCTGGAGTCCTCATCTCCTCCTGCTGCAACTCCATCCTCCTCCCTGGGACGCTTTGCTCCTCTATCAGGCTGCAAGAAGAGAGGAGATGGTGAAATGTAAAGATGTGCAGGAAGTTGGTCTGTTTGTGTATAGAGGGATGTTGTGAGGTCTTGAAATCACTAAGGTGTAGTTCACATATAATGGTGTGGAACTTACAAGTACTCTGCCTGTCAGTTAATGCATAAGAACTGATCTGAGGTAAGTAGTAAGGTGCACCGTTATGTCCCACACCTAAGTATCTTTTTGATCTGCTCCTTACATCTTTCACACAGCAGCAGCTTTTCCAACATTAGTAGCTGCTTTGAGAAAATGAAAACTTAGCTGCAGCAGGCAGTCTGATCTCATGTGAAAAAGGTAAGATTGTACCCAAATAAAACTGTATTTATAGGGTCACTGGTGTGCCGAATTTGCAAACAACTACCAACGATTAGTAAAATACATTTCTTCATCTGATTAGGTTTGTATGTTTAGTATAATAAACAAAACTGCCTCAATTGCAGGATTTTTAATTGGCCATTGGCGTACAAGTAGACGTATGCGAACTGACTGTCTTTGACAAACAATGCCCTCCGAACCAGTGTGGAAATGCAGAGGTGTTAAATGTCTCTGTATGTAAAAGTAGTTAAGGCAATTATAGCTAGCATCAGTGGAAGTTGGTGTCTTACCCTCCACATTCATTCACTGCATCCAGAAAGCTAGCAACCTGTCTAGCTAGCATGCTAACTGCTATCGTTATTTGTCGGTAAGTAATGAACAGAATTAAGTTTATCTCCTGTCATGCAGCAGTATACAAGGCTAACACAATGCACATCACTGGTGGTTAAATAACTCACGTAGACGAACACAACGAAGTAAATAACGAGACTTAAGTAAAGCTTGCTAACGGCTATCAGGAACTGCTAGCAAGCCAATGAATGAGATAAGTTTAGCTAAGTTTCCCAACATTGTTGAACACAATAAGATGTCTACCTGATAGTTCAGGAGCTCTCCAACATCCATGTCTCCGGGTTAAAAACGTAAACGTAAGAATGTTTTATTCAAGTTTCGGAAATATTTAAGAGCGTACACTTCAGCAGTTAGCTATACGGCTAACAACAAGCTCCTCACATACACATGCTTGCCGTAAAGCGTTTGTGTTCACTGTCGTAGCAAGATACTGTCGTAAACTTTGCCTCTTTCTCATAAAATCATCACAACTCATTACCCATTTACTTATCTCTGTAAATATGGACAAAAATGTTTAATACACATAATAATGTTTTCCTATTTTCATTCTCTGCAATTTAATAAAATGTATCTATTTTGTTATAGGCTTATGTGCACAGAGGTGCTGCAAGCAAGAGTGCAAATATGATTTACTTTGAAATATTTTTGAACAATATCTTTATAACATTTTACATATGACTCACACATACAAATTCACACGTCACATATTAAGCAAATAAAATAAAATAATAAAATAAAGTAAAAGACACTTTAAATAAAAGAAACAAAACTGCAAAGTTGTAGAAACACTCAGCAACACCACCAGCAATTTCAATGTGACCGTGTGCCTTGATGTCCAAGATACTCCATTTTCCTGCCCTCCCTCTGGTTATGCAAGTGTATCTCTCCAATACAACATGTCTTATCCTTCACACATATATTCTGCATTATTTGTGAACAAATGACAGTGTAGTTAATTTCGGTTTTCAGTACGGATAACAAGGGCAGCACGGTGGTATGGTGGTTAGCACTGTCGCCTCACAGCAAGAGGGTTCCCGGTTCGATCCCGGGTGTGGGAGCCCTTCTGTGCGGAGTTTGCATGTTCTCCCTGTGTCAGTGTGGGTTCTCTCCAGGCACTCCGGCTTCCTCCCACAGTCCAAAGACATGCAGGTTGGGGATTAGGTTAACTGATAATAATAATTGATTGATAAATTGTCTGTAGGTGTGAACGTGAGCGTGAATGGTTGTTGACCTGCGATAGTCTGGCAACCCGTCCAGGGTGTACCCTGCCTCTCGCCCAATGTCAGCTGGGATAGGCTCCAGCCCCCCCGCGACCCTCAAGAGGATAAGCGGTTAGAAGAAGAAGATGGAAGTACAGATAACAACTGTCATAATTCAGATCTTGGTCTGTGACACAGGGAGACATGAGTGTGGACAGTAACAAAGCACACATTCATTATTATTCCACATTATTCACATTATTCATTATTATTACACAAACCACAAGTCAGTGGGTCAAGTCACCATAGCAGGTAGAACAGATGTGCCCAGGTGTGTCTCATGCCTCTAAAGATCCCTGAAAAACACAAAGAGCAGGACACCAGCAGGCAGGGCAGAAGGGCCCTCATACTGACAAAGAGACTCATACTATTTGTAACACCTGTGTTTACAAGGAACAAGGAATATGAATATATGCACAATATAAAAAAACACATACAGCTGTATCATAAATCTACGGAGCCCCTTAAAGGTCAAGTCAGGAGATTTTTTTTGGACTGACTTTTGCGTTACCTCGCAATAAATTTTGCGTTCCCTCGCAAAAAAATTTGTGTTCCCTCGCAATACTTTTGCCTTCCCTTGCAATAAATTTTGCATTCCCTCGCAATAGTTTTGCGTCCCCTCGCAATAGTTTTGCATTCCCTTGCAATAACGTTTTGGATTCCCATGAGCCACCATTGTCACTTCCTCTTAGATGCCTGCATTGATTGGTGACCAACATAAACTTGTATAAAGCTGGCGAGATCTCCTTTTAAACTGTAGTGTTGTTATTATTGTCTTTCATGCTGTTTTAAATAGCCTACTTAATTAGGTTCAGGAACTGGCACCGTGCCAGTTTTGTCAGTCGAAATGCGCTATTTGTGACTTCAGGCCCAACTCTGCCACTGATTGGCCAGTCTGACATACTTCATAATACATAAAGAACGTTAGTGAAACACATAGGCCTAACAGAAACATGCGTTCGTTTGGGGACAAGTTAGAGGTCACGTTACTCGTTCCACAGGCGAAGGACCCCGGACACATACAGTAAATACACCGGTTGTAATTAACTTTTAGCATACGTGAGTCTTTGTGACTCTTGGCTCTTGTACCCTAACTAACACTTGTTTCTGTTTCACTAACGATATTTTCACCCGATTAAGTCACATCCTGTTATTTCCTGTTATTTCCTCTGTAAACCTAATGTTACAGCAGCCTACAAGCATGCTGTGTCAATAAATCAGCTAAGACAATGTTAGAAATGTAGTATTTAGCCTAATAACATCATGCTACAGCAGTGATAACGTCAGCTTTAGTCAAATGGCAATAGCTCTCCCGGTAAATGTCATAAACTCTGGACACATTTTCCCTGCAGAAAGTATTGCGAGGTAATGCAAAAGTATTGCGAGGGGATGCAAAAGTCTCCCAACTTGACCTTTAAGGGGCTCCGTACCGATCAATGCGGGCATCTAAGAGGAAGTGACAATGGGGGCTCATGGGAATCCAAAACGTTATTGCAAGGGAATGCAAAACTATTGCGAGGGGACGCAAAAGTATTGCAAGGGAATGCAGAATTTATTGCGAGGGAACACTTTTGCGTTTGCGAGGGAACGCAAAAAGTATTGCGAGGTAATGCAATGTATTGCGAGGTAACACAAAAGCCAAAAAAAATCTCCCGATGTGAACTTTAAGGGGCTCTGTATAAATCCTATCTCTATATTGGGAAGTTTATGATGTACAGTTTTTGTTGACACTGTGTCAGATAGTGGTTGATTAAATGTTTTGCCATTGTGTGTTGGAGTGTTGTATTGAACTGCATTATACAGTACAGGTGTTATTGTGTCCACTCGCTGTATTGGTTAACACTAACAGCTGCACCATGTTTCACTAAAGATGCTGTCACACTGGTTCCATACACACTTAAAAAAATGCTGGGTCAATTTAACCCAATTTGGATCAATCATGGTAGCCAGTACTGGGTCAAACTACTGTCGTACCCAGAACTTGGGGAAGTTTACCCTGCACACATGGGTATAAAAACCACTGAGTGATCAATAACATCCAAAATACAGGGTTATTCTGACCCAGTTTTAGTGTTGTTTGTGTTATTTCTATTGAACTACTCAGCCGTACCAGTATGTGATTATTTTGACCCAGTAATGATGTTACATTTCTGTTGGGTCCTAAAATAAACCAAAAAGGGTAGCTACTTTACCCAGTGTAATGTTTTATGCATGGATCTGTTATGCAGGCATGTTTCTATCCATTGTCATACTTTTATGCATCTCTAGCTTAAATAAACTCTATCATTCAGCATGTGTGACATATTAATAAACATCTTTTTTCAGGTTGTATTATTTGGAGCAGAGTAATGCAAGAATATGTTTTTTCCCCCAACAGAATCCTTCCAGCTCATTCACCAATCCTGAAATAAACCCCCTTAATGATACAAGTAAAATTAGACATGACCGTTTCCTCATCAGACCTTGCAGAGAAAATCCTGGTCTTAAGGGCTCAATTTTGCTGTATTCATTCCAAGAGAGCTTTATATGCCAAGCTGTCTTATTGTTCCAGACAGGCAGAAAATCACCTTTTCAATGAGCATCATTGGGAAATGTATGAGTGGTGCATTGTGTAGAAGCCTCCATTGCCACTCCAGTCTCTGGCCAGTGATCTGTGACAGTAGAGCAATAGAAACAACATTTAAAAGGAAGGCCACTGCCAAGCAGTCAAGCTTGACATCCCAGAAAACACAAGGGAAAAAGCACTTGATCAAAGGAAAGAGAGAGAAATGGGGTGAAAGAGAATAAAAGGGTGCAAGAGGGGTGAAAAGAGAAATTTATATGGAAATCCCAAAGCTAGAGACAGGGAGGCAGCTTCAGATGAATACAAAGCCTTGATTGAGCAGACTCTTTTTTATGAGGCTGACAACTTAATTTGGATTAAAAATAATAACTTTAACCATGTCTGTGATCCGTGTATGTTTAAATGGGTTGAAAGATCAGACCAGTATTTGCAAATTCATATGTTAATGCTAGAAAAGATTCTTGATGGTGAGTTATTAAAAGAGGATGTGTATTTATCGCAGGACACCATCATGTTTAGGATTAAATGTTTAGTGTTGCTGACAAAACTTATACCCTGCATACTGGAGGGTGGGCATTATGCTTCTGCACTGACGCAGGAGTGGGAAGTGGGTGCTGAGGGTGCCACAGCACCCCCTATTGACAAAGGGTGGGAAAACACAGTGTAAATAGTTGGCTATTGTACCATAAATGATGAGCTATCGAAACATTTGTTTGAAATTTTAAACAGCATACAAGAAGGTGCATGTCAGGAAATATACGACAAAAAGATGTTAAAAATGTGCAAATATAATTAATTCCCCCTATCTGACATGACAACATCATCATGTCATCAAGTGTAAGAGCTACCATTATCCAGTGGTCAGCTAAACATGGGAGAGATTTGTGTTAGCGGGAGCTAATCTATGGTGCAGACGGGTTGAACTGCCTGAGAAAGGCTAGAAAATTGCCAGGACAGTTGTGGAGCTGCTTGTTTCGTGCTATAAAATTCCTTGGACTCAAAAGACTTACACTGAGAGGGCATAGCTATCGGCTTGTATTTATTTTGGCAGCTAATCATGGAGCGGAGAACGAATGGACGTACAATTTGCCCAGGTGACATAAGTAGCTACAGTGAAGAGACAACTGGATGTCTGACACCACTCAAAATGAAATCCTCACAAAAGAAAAATACATTGCCTTGCTTTGAACAAAGGATCCACTTAATGTCCAAAGACATCTGAAGCTGATACTGAAGGATGTGATTCTCCCTGTTTCTCATTTCACAGCATTAGAAATTTTGGTACATGCAGTCCAGAGAGAAATTTTATTTGACGTGACGGAGCGCACATTCTTAACAGCTGATGGAACCACCAATGTAAGTATGACCTGAGCTAAAACATGTTCCTGCATGCATGGGATGATGCCATTCTGCCACAGTGGGTCATAATGGTGTTATCAGCAGTAATCGCCATACGAGCAAAGTGCAGAGTGGCAGCGTTTAGCTAGCTGCCTGTGGGATACGCGCACACAAACTATCATGCACGCACGCCTGAACCGTGCATCACAACAAAGAACACAGAAACTTGGATTACAACACA